TTAGTAAACTAAGAATTGAACTGCCACACCACCCAGCAATTCCATTTCAAGGTATCCCACAGGACACAAAAACATTCATTCAAAAGGACATTTGCACACCATTATTCATTGCAACACTTTAGTACAATAACTAAGATAAGGAATCAACGCAGGTGTCCAATGAGTGATGAATGGATTATAAAGATGTGGTAAATATTCACAATGGGACAATGACATTGTGCAATATGCTGGAACCTAGATGAAACTTGAAAATACTATGTTGGGGGCTGGAGCGATAGCACAGCGGGTAGGGTGTTTGCCTTGCACGCAGCCAACATGGCCAACCCAGGTTCGATTCCCAGCATCCCATATGGTCCCCCGAGCACCGCCAGGAGTAATTCCTGAGTGCATGAGCCAGGAGTAACTCCTGAGCATCGCCGGGTGTGACCCAAAAAGAAAAAAAAAAAAGAAAATACTATGTTGAGTGAAGGCAGTCAGAAGGACAAACACTGGATAATCTCAATTATCTGTGCTATACTGAAGGACTGAACAAGAAAATGTAATGTAGTAAAGGATGGCAAGATCACCCTTGACTCCAGAGTACAGAAGGAAAAGGAGTGATAAGGGAGAAAATTTGAGGGGGACATAAGGGAAGTAATAGAAGTCAAGGCCCTGTGGTATATCAGTCACGTGGGGGAGTGGTATAGCTACATATCCAAGCCACAGCCTCAAAAACACTTAAAACATGAGATATAAACTACAACAACCAAGCTTTAAATTATCCTTTCTATGGGCCAGAGGGGCTGGAGCGATAACACAGTGGGTAGAGCGTTTACCTTGCATGCGGCCAACCGGGGCTCAATTACTCCACCCCTCTCAGAGAGCCCGGGAAGCTACCAAGAGTATTTTGCCTGCACGGCAAAGCCTGGCAAGTTGCCCATGACGTCTTTGATATGCCAAAAACAGTAACAACAAGTCTCACAATTTGTTGTGAGACGTTACTGGTGCCCGCCTGAGCAAATCGATGAACAACGGGAGGACAGTATTACAGTGCTACAGGCCAGAGATAGAACAGCAGACAGTGTATTTCCCTTACATGTCACCAACCTGAGTATGATCCTTGGCATCCCATATGTCCTCCCCAGCCCACCAGGAATGATCCCTGAGCCCAGAGCCAGGAGTAAGCCTTGAGCACTTCAGGCTGTGGCCCCAAACCCAAAATAGATGAATGAAATAAAGTGTTTCTGTTCAGGCGGCAGGCTGGGGTGGACGAGGGGAGTGTTAGACAAGAGGAAACTTAGGAACATATATGCAAGGAAGCTGACACTGATGGTAGGGGATTGGTACTAGAACATCTAAAACTCAACTATCGGGGCTGAAGCAATAGCACAGTGGGTAGGGCGTTTGCCTCACAGGCGGCTGACCCAGGTTTGATTCCCAGCATCCCATATGGTCCCCTGAGCACCGCCAGGAGTAATTCCTGAGTGCAGAGCCAGGAGTAATCCCTGTGCATTGCCAAGTGTGACCCAACAAGAAAAAAAAAATAAAATAAAACTCAACTATCAATAAATTTGCACATCACAGTTCTTTAGTAAATGTTTTCAAGTTCCATTTGGTGGGATGAGGGAATGGTAACTGGGGGAAGAGGTGTTTGGGCCACACCCAAACATTTGTTCAGGAGCTATTCCTGGCTCTGTGCTTAGGAGTGATGCACAGGACCATATGTGATCCTGGAATCTAACTGAGTCATAGCGTGCAAGGCAAGTGCCTTCCCCTTATCTTCCCCTATCTCTCTGGTCCTATATTTTTCCTATATTTTCCCCAGTACCTAAAATTTTATTAGAAAAGCCATGGCATCTCATTATGTTTTACTTCGCTTTTTTGCTAACAACAGAGTTGATTAATTTCTCATAAGTAGTCCCTGATTAGAATGTCTGGTTCATGTGCCTCGTCTAATTTGCTTTTCAGATTATTAGATCTTTTCCTTGTCTATTTGCGAGCATCTTGAACACAAAACACTCTTTTATATTGTAAATGTTTTTTTCTTCATGGCCTCTGAATGTTATTTATATTGCTTTTTAATTTAACAATGATTTACATCAGTGCCTTTCAGCTTTTTTTTATACCCGTGGGCAGGAGAAAAGATGATATTTCACAGAATGCAAAGGCAAAAAAATTAAAACATTATTTGTAAGAATAGTATATATTAATATATAGAATAACAGTGTATATGATCCAGACATACTACTTGTGAAGCAGCAAAAATTTTCTGTTGACCAAAAGCTGAAAAACATAAGTTACCTATTCCTACAGGAAATATGTATTTATCCATGCAGCTCATTATTTTTACGTTTACAAGGCCATTTCTTCACCTAAACTAAGTATTAGTTAGTAAGGTAAGTATTAGTTATAAGGTAAGTATTCACAGCAAGAGAATGAGAAAGTGTTCTTGTTGTGTTTATAAGATGGGAGATTACAGGAAATAAATCTTTCTATGGTTTATTACAACCTTCTTCATATTATACTTACAATATTTTCACTCACTTTGATTAGACAATACAGAGAATGATTCATTTTTAAAAAATTTTAATTTAGAGGTATTTAAAATGCACAAATCTTTTATTTTTGTACTCTTTTATTTTTATTGAATCACCACGAGATAGAGCATTACAAAATTGTTCATGATTGCGTTTCAGTCATACAGTGTTCCAATACCCATCCCTCCACCAGTGTCCCCAGTTTCCCTCCCATCCCTCCAAGCCACCCACCACCCCAGCCTGCCTCTATTGCAGACAGCGCTCTCTCTCTCTCTCTCTCTCTCTCTCTCTCTCTCTCTCTCTCTCTCTCTCTCTCTCTCTCTTCCCCCTCTCTCACTATAGGAAAATGCATGACTCTTAAGCAGCCAGCTGAAAACAATTCATTTTAAGCTAACAACCACAATGAATTCCATACCATGCTCCAACAGGAAACCTTATTCTAAGTTCTTAGGAAGAAATCTCTTTTCTCTCCTCCCTGTTCTAATTAGGGTCACTTCTTTCTTGGCTTTTTAATTTTGGCTTCATCCCAAGCCCCAGGTCACTGGTTCCCAAGTTCCAAGCCACTGGTTCCCAAGCCCCAAGTTACTCTAGCCTTTGCTGCCCCCTTGCTCTGAGTTCCCTGGCCCACGGGTCTTGCTAATGCACCCAGATGTAGGATCTCAGTCACGCAGATTCAGAAGCTCGGTCACGAAGGCCTTTCCGGTGATGATAGCCACTTTGTTCTGTAGCAAGCCGGCTGCCAGGCAGCTCTTCCAATCATCAGAAGAGTTCATTGCCAGGCAGGGTCTCACATCCCAGACTACAGATCCTTGGAAGTCACAGGGCGTCCCAGAGCTCTCCAATTGGGTAGAGATAAGGTATCACATGACCTGTGGACACGCCCAACACATACACCACGCCTACATGGCCTGAGCTCCTCCACCCTGACGCCTGTGACCCCCATCCACTAGCCACAGCAGCTCTGGATCCTCCCTGGCAAGAATCATTCCCAGATGTGTTCTGGAAAAGATCTGGAAGCAGAAATGAGGCCTTCAGATCTCTTCATTTACTGCAAAGGATCTAGGAATGAAGGGGGAGGAGGGTGTCCACAGAACAAGATTAACAGCCAGTTTTAAAAATAAATTCTATCCCTCTTCTCTTTCATCTCCTTTTCAACACCATCAAAAAAAAGGGAGGAAGAGAAACCCTGATCAGATTTGCTTAATACATTGGTAAATTCAAAAGAGGATCTTGACTTGAAGGGTGCAGACTACCTGCAGAAAAGATAATGATGAAAATTATGTGCTCAGTTCTATGCTTCACTCTTTTGGGGATGGGGGAGAAGTGGGAGTTTGGGCCCTACCCAGAAGTACTATGGGATTACTCCTGGCTCTGTACTCAGGGATTACTACTGGTGGTGCTCGGGGGACCATACTGGGTGCCTGGGATTGAACCAGGTCTGGACTCTGCAAGGAAAATACCCTACCCGCTATACTAGCGCTCCAGCTTAAATGCACAGTTATAATAATATCTTGATCATAATCTTTGTTCCTTAAACAGGAATTATAAGTCCTATTATGTTTGTGTGGTCCGAATGCTTTCAGCAGAACTAAACAACAGCATTCTAGAAATGTAAGGGGTGGTTACTGTAGTCCATGGGAGATTATCTGAAAATCAAGGCCTCCTAAACTCTCATCCCCTCATGGCTTATAATTCAAAAGCCATGAAGTTTTCACCTTCAGAAGATCATTGCTAAATTCTAGCCAGGAGTAAAAGAAAGATATTGGAACTTTCCACATTAACAGCATCTGGCAAGAAAAGTAAGGTGTAAGGTATTTCCACTTGAGTAATTCTGTAATTGTGCAGACTTGGAAGTAAGCACCTTATTAAATGTCAGTGCCCAGAAGTCATACACACTTGGCTCTAGGATTCTGATAAAAATGCAGATTCTGGGGCCATTACCCAGAGGCTGGTTAATCATTCACGTTTTAATTACTGATTTTCAAATTGAAAGGAGATAGTGACTTTGCTCAAAGGAGAGTAACTGGGGTCAGGAAGTGGACAGACTGTGTGTGTGTGTGTGTGTGTGTGTGTGTGTGTGTGTGAGAGAGAGAGAGAGAGAGAGAGAGAGAGAGAGAGAGAGAGAGAGAGAGAGAATTTGTGTAGAGAAAAGGGGGCTGGGAGAGAGAGAGACAGAACAGAGGTACTGAGATAGGTTTAATTAGGACAATGAAGGCACAGACAGAATCTGTGAATGGCATTTCAGAAACTGGTGTAACTGACAGAAGGTTCAACTCAAGGAGAAAAGTGAGCTAAGATGCTTTCATAAAATTTGATACAAGAAATTGGTGTTCAAAAGGAATAAACATGGAGAAAAAGAAATACTTTAGATAAGAAATCAAGACAAATACAGCACTGCAACAGAAAAGTAAAACACAAGGACTTTTCCCTTGCAGTAATACAATTTATATAAATTTAACTTAATGAAAAAAAAACAGACACAGAGAAATTTACCAAAAATCTTTGTTGATCCAGAAGCATTTGGCATGAAAAAATAAGATCACTGCATAATTCAGGTTTGAAGCAAGAGACTGATACAACAATGAAGATTTCTTGCCTTTAGAGTTAAACACCAAAATCTCTAGGATGTCAAGATACCTCTATTATTAATTTTCAATTGTTTGACTTTTAAAATATCTTTCTTAGTAATGAGAAGTATGAATACAACATGAAATTCACTTCCACTCCTATCAAATTGTTTTCAATCTCAAGTGAAAAGGCATCAGTTGGGACTTGATTACAGAAATAAAATAATAACATTTAAACGGGAGAGAGTGGTTTCCCCATACATATTATTAGCCCCTGAAAAGTATACAAATGCATTGTTGAGCTGGTGAGGCACCTTCAGAGATTCCCGTCTGCTCTCTTGGCTTAGAGCTTGGCCCTCTGCTTAAAAGCCTCCTTCATCCTTTTCACATCTGAAAGGTCCCCTGGTCCCTGAGGCCAGTTGTCATGATCTGTGAAGAAGAAAACCTCCAGTCACATCTTTTCTCATGTGTGACTTGGTTGAGGGGGGTGGGGGGGGTTGCAGGGACAGGGGTATTGGGCAAGACCCTGTGATGCTCTGGGGTTACTCATGGCTCTGAGCTCTGGGATCTCTTTTGGCAGTGCTCAGGGAACCATTTAGGATACTGGAGATCAAACTGAAGTCAGCTACATGCAAGCTAAGTGCCCTACGCACTGTGCTATTTTATTGATCATCTCCTCATTTGTGACTTTGACCTTTTGTCATTGATTCTCTCCTTTCTTAATTAGAAAACAGAAATTGTTACCAAAAATAATAAAGGTTTTGATGAAATCCCGGTTCTTCCACTTACTGGCTTTCATGAAGTTGCCTTTGCCGGGGCCCCACTGTCTCATCTGATAATGGGAGAAATGCCATTTCTCTTTCTTTGACCCACTTTCTTTAAGTTTAGTGTGTGTCCTAAGGGAGAGCCTCTGGCATGTGTGAACATTCAATACGGCTTACATTCTAAGTCAGAGTAATGTTCGTTGGTTCTTTTGGGGGTTAGGGGCCATATCTGCTGGTGCTCAGAGCTTACTCTTGGCTCTGTGCTCAGTGATCGCTCCTGACGGTGCTCAAGGGACTATATGAGGTTCCAGGAATCAAACCCGGAATGGCCGTAAGCAAGACAAGTAACTTATCAGTCATACCATCTATCTGGCCTCAGGAAGAATAATTTTAATAAATATGCCCCTTTATGAGTGGCCTTCCCAGTATCCAGTCTGTCATTTACCTTTCCAGTGGTCTGTTGCTATTTAGGAATCCATGAGGTTGTGGGAATGACCCCTCTCCCCCTTTAGATCACTGGCTGATAGAAATAAATCTGAGTTAATAACCCTTGGCTTGGATGAGCATGGATATTTGCACAAGGGGGTCTAAAGAAAAGGAAATTTCACAATAGTGATAGAAAGGCTCAAACAAACAAACAAAAAAAAAGAGAGAGAGAGAGAGAGAAGAAAGGCTCTCTGGGATCTCTTTTGGCAGTGCTCAGGGAGCCATATAGGATACTGGAGATCAAACCAAAGTCAGCTGGAGCAATAGCACAGTGGGTAGGGCATTTGCCTTGCATGCGGCCAACCCGGGTTCAATTCTCAGCATCCCATATGGTTTCCCCCAAGCACCGCCAGGGGTGATTCCTGAGTGCAGAGCCAGGACTAACCCTTGAGCATCGCAGGGTGTGACCCAAAACCAAAAAAAAAAAAAAAAAGAAAAGAAAAGAAAGGCTCAAACAAAGTCATTATCCTCCCAGGGCCAGAGAGAGCTCAACGAACTGAGCTCATGTTTTGCATGTAGGAGGCCCAGGTTTGATCTCCAACACCACATAGTGTCCCCCCATATCCCCCCCATACACACACACATACGGAGTCAGGAGGCCAGAAAAGACCCCCAAGCCCAGAGGAGGTCTAGCCCTTGATCACCAGTGAGTGTGGCCTCCACCAAAAAAAGAAAAATCATCATCATCATCATCCCTCCCCACTTCCCCTCCCCACCCCCATTTCTTTGTCCTCCTTCAGGTGTAGGCAGAAGGATTTGAAAATGGAAGCAGGGAGCTTCAGGAACAGTAAGATCTGGGGGATCCTATTCAGTGCCTGGGATCAAGTCAAATGGGCCACATGCAAGGGAAGCACCTACTCCTTCCCAGAAAGCCCTCACCTTTAAAGAAACCAGTTAAGGGGCTGGAGCGATAGCACAGTGGGTAGGGCGTTTGCCTTGCACATGGCCAACCCAGGTCCAATTCCCAGCAACCCATATGGTCCCCTGAGCACCACGAGGAGTAATTCCTGAGTGCAGAGCCAGGAGTAATTCTTGTGCATCGCTAGATGTGACCCCCCCAAAATAATAATAATAATAACAATAAAGAAACCAGTTAAAGAACTTTGGAAATCTAAACACAAAAAGGCGTCAAGCTAGTGATGACTCATTTCTGGAGTGCTCACCTGGTATCTGAAATGACTTATGATACAGAGACTGGCCCCCATCCACGTCCACCAACTGTCCGGTGATAAAGGAAGCTGCTGGCGAGAGCAGGAAGCATACCAAGGGAGAGATCTGCAAACAGAAACACAGGCTGCAGCAAGGCCAAGCACTCACTCTACACCTGGGGCTGCTTTCCATTGCAGCAAACACAGCAAGAAGCACAGGACCGTAACAGGAATTCTACGGCTCGTGTGCCCAATGACCTGAGGCAACATGAGTGACTGCCTGTTGCCCTGTAAGCATCCTTCAAATCAGGGGACTAAGCGGCAGGAGATGAAGGAGTCTGAGTGTTGAATAAGCTAAATGATGGGAAGAAGCTAAAAGCGAAGAGTGCCTAGACCGTGCTCACTCTCAATATAATCGGGTTCCCTCCACACCCTGAATTCCCATCCACAATGAATTTTTTTCTTTCTTTTTCTTTTTTTACTATCACATACATGCATTTTCTATGTTTCTCCCTGGAATCTTTGATGAATCTGTAGAACAATCTACCAGAATCCCCGTGTGTTTATTCCATGTTGTGACAGAAGACTATAGAGTCCCACTGCATCCCCTCGAAATCCAGATAGGTAATTGATGAGGACCAACAACAAATATCGAATACATCACGGGGAGCTTGCGAGGCTCTGCCATGCAGGTGAGATACTCTCGGTAGCTTGCCGGGCTCTCCGAGAGGGCAGAGGAATTGAACTCGGGTCGGCCATACTGGCTGCGTGCAAGGCAAACTCCCTACCGCTGTGCGATCTCTCCAGCCAAACACAGTAACAACAAGTCTCACGATGGAGACATTACTGGGCCCGCTCGAGCAAATTGATGAACAACGGGAGGACCGTGACCGTGAACAACAAATAGTTAATCTCATCGATGTAAAGAGTCGGCATAGGAGGTTGTTTCAAAGGGAGGTTCTAAACACTCGCATTAGGTGACTGAGAGCGGCTTAGTAAAATTCCAGATTTCTAGACCTTGACACAGGAACTGTCAACTATGGGTGTGGATATCCTTTGCTCAGAGTCCCAGGGAGGGCTGCAACTGAGGGGAAGCCAAGGATGGTGCTGGCTGGGAAGTGGTTAAGGAGACCCCGGCTCCCAGAGCAGTCCTGGTGAGAGCACCGGGAGCAGGTCCTGACATGCTGTGTGCACACTTTCTTTTTCCCACCCAGTCCTAGCTTGGGACCCCACACTGTCATCAGGCTGGCCCTCATGGCTATGCCTCTTGGAGACCTGGAGGCCCCAAAGGGAAGACGCAGCTTCCTCTCCATCCTCTGTGCCCCAGAAGCTAGCGTAGCGTTTCGCTGTCTTAAACAGGCTTCGGCTCTCCCTGTTGCATTTTAAATACCAACCTTTGTCAACTGACGTTAATGTAACTGTTCATTTGAATTTTACCTCCAACTTCAGTAGATATTTTATTGGGGGGAAAATAGCAGAAGTGGAGAAAGGGCAGAAAGTCTTCTTTCATATGGGAGGAGTCTGCTAAGCAGCAGACTCTACATTCTACAGGAAACCGGAAATGCATTGACAACTGGTATTTGCCAATTCTATGTAAAAAAGAAAGATGTCAAACTTATAATAAATTTTAATTATAGGCCAGCGTGTGTGTACAAGCTCCAGTAAGCTCTACAACCAAGCACAAGTATGGGCGCATGCCCTGGTCATTGCGACAACTAAAGGGGAAGGAGGGGAAGAAAATTCAAATAAAAGATAAAACCAAGCCATAAGAGACTACTGCCAAAACGCTCCCCCTGTGGCTAGTCCAAACTGAGATGTGTTCCTCAGCATAAAACACACAGCAGATTCTAAAGACTTGCTATGAAAAGAAGAAAGTGAAGTGACTCATTAAGAGATTATATATTGATCACATGTTGAAATGGCAATGTTTGAGATGTACTGTATGAAGTTAAATCTATCAATTAATTTTTTTTAAATTTCATTTAGATTTTCTTGTTTTGCTTTTTTTTAAAAAGGTGTCCTCCCAAGCTGTGCTTAGGATGGCCAAGGACACTCCCAGCAGTATTCAGCCCCTAGGTTAGTTCCCTGGCCTTTCCTTAAAAAAAAAATTTTTTTTTTTTGGTTTATGTTTCTTCATTTATTTGTTTTTGGCAGGGAGAAGACACCAGGCAATGACTGGGGGTTATTCCTGGCACTATGCTCAGGAGTGTCTCCTGGCAGAGTTCAGGGGGCCACATATGATGTTGGGATTTGAACGAGGGTCAGTGAGATGCAGACTAAGTATCTGAACTGATGTCCAATCTCGCCAGCACTTTACTTTTCTGAATGTGGCTCCTGGGAAGCTTAAAGTCACATGTGGGATGAAGTCACTGCCAGGGATGAAGTTGTCCATCAAAGACAACCAGCCCAGTAGCCATGGTACATCAGCTACCCAGTGAGAGCTCCTTGGTTCTGAAAGTCGAATGTCAGAAAATCTCGGTCCAACAAACTCCCTTGTCAGTGCCACCCTTCCTCCCAACTGACCATGATCTCTCCCAAGGAACTGTGACCTCAGAAATATGCCAGTCTCTGAAATCACACTCATCCTCCAAAAATAGATCAGAAGTCTTCTTGCTCAAACAGACTAAGTCTGACACATCCCCCAAATGTTCAGATACGCATACTGAAAGCAGACTCTTCACAAGTTGAGTCACCATGGCACGTGGAGTTAAGCTGGATAAATGCCCTCTCCTTGGGCCTTGGGCCTTGGGAGAAATGGTTACGATAATGAGAAAGAATAAAGATACAAATATAGCGTCACCTTCAAAACTTGCCTTCTGTTCAAGGAAGACTATCTGAAGACAGGGCAAACATGCAGAGGCAGGGTTTTATCAAATGAAGCCAACTCATTCATTATGTGCTAAATCCACCACCCAAAATCCTAGGGTCCCTTTCCTCTTATTTAACTCTGTCAACAAACCTCTGATTTGCCTCATTAACTTTATAATTTAAAATTAACTTAAAATTATAATTTAGCTGTAGCACTGTCCTCCCATTGTCCATCGATTTGCTTGAGCGGGCACCACTAATGTCTCCATTGTGAGACTTGTTGTTACTGTTTTTGGCATATCTAATATGCCACAGGTAGCTTCCCAGGCTATGCTGTTCGGGTGGGATACCCTCGGAAGCTTGCCAGGCTCTCCAAGAGGGGTGGAGGAATTGAACTTGGGTCGGCCATGTGCAAGGCAAATGCCCTACCCGCTATGATTTAAAAAAATTATTTTTTAAAAATTGGATTAGGACAGTTGGGCCACACCCAGGGGTATTCAGGGCTTATTACTCCTTGCTCTGTGCTCAGGAATCACTCTAAGCAATGCTCCATGGACCAGAAGCAGAGTTGGAATCATACCTGGGTCAGGAACATACAAAACAAATACAGAGAACACTTTGTACTCTCTCTCTCTGGTCACGGCACATAGTTTCTTAATTTGCAAATCAGTGCACAATATTTCACAAGCCACCTAAAAAACTGTTTCAAGCACTGTTTTCCCTTTTCTAGATGTTTAAAAATACCGAGAACTCAGGGCATACAGTGGGTAGGGTTTTGCCTTGCACATAGCCAACCTAAGTTCCATCTCCTGCACCCCATATGGTCCTCAGAGCACTGTCAGGAGTCATCCCAAGTTCAGAGCCAAAAGTAAACACTGAGCACTGCTGGGTGTGGCCCAAAAATACAGAAACAAATAAAAGAAGAAAATGAAGAATTTTAGTATACTATTAACCAAATTCTATACATATAATCATTATACTATTAAATTTAAATTTTAATTAAATATAATTATATATTAAAGTTTTAAAATAAAACTTTCCTATATGTCTTTTCTGATATGCTGACATTTGTGCTGACAGGGCCAAAGCAAAGGTAAAGAAACTCATGAGACCTCAGCAAATCACAGCCCATATACAACTGAACCACCATCAATCATCTACATGGTCCTTATTGTGTTAACCCTCAGGTCTCAGGGTGGGCTGGGGTAAGAGAGAGGCAAGAGCTTGTTGTATCTCATCAGACAGTAAAGATCCCTCACTGCAGGTACCCCAGGGATGTGGCTCAGTGGTCAAGAGACTTGACATGTCAAGCCAAGATTTCAATCTCCAGAATTGCTTTGTACATTCAGGTCTGAACCCAGAGCTGCAGCAAATATAACCCTCACACTGCCTCCTCATCCACGGCAAAGTAAACTGAAATGGAAATGCTACTCTAAAACTACACAGATAATAGGTAATTACTGACCATGATAGCCTTGGCCATGGAATGAACATCTTTTAACATCCACGGTGATGAGATGTGAATTAAGCATTTAGCTCTCCTCTGCAGACGTAAAATTCATCTTACAGAAATTTAAGCGTGTATTTGGGTTGTGAACTGAACTCGCCTCTTTTTTTCATGACATGCCATTTTCCACTTGTCAGAATTTTGACTAACAAACTGTGGTTATTCACACTTGGTAGACATCTTGTTCAAGAATTAAGAAAGTGGGTGCTGAAGGGATAGACCAGGGCTTAAGGTGCTTGCTTTAAATGAGGCAGACCCTGGTTCGATCTCTGGCACTACAGATATTCATTCCAGCAGGAATGATCCCTGAGCACAGAGTCAGGAGTAAGCCCTAAGCCAGCTGTGGATCAAAATAAAACAACAACAACAAAAATAGAATAACAAAACAAAACAAAAAGAACAATGTGAAACATTAAATGTGAGTTTTAAATGCTGTATAATGACATCTGTATCAATATTTAATTAAGGTACATAATTCAGTCAACATTTTCTAGGTAATTCTGCAGTGCCACTTCTGGGAATATACCCCTGGGCTGCAAAAATACACAGCAGAAATGACATCTGCAATTTTATGTTCACTGAAGCACTGATCACAATAACCAGAACCTGGAAACAACCTGAGTGACCGCAAACAGATGACTGGTTAAAGATATGGTACATCTACACAATCGAATACTGTACAGCTGTCAGAAAAAAAATGAAATCATGAAATTCGCTTATAAATGGATGGAAGTGGAGAGTATCATGATAAGTGAAATAAGTCAGAAGGAGAAGGACCGACACAGAATGACTGATTTATTTGTGTAATATAAACAACAACAACAAAAAAACAAAACACAGTAAGAGACTAACACCCAAGGACAGTAGAAACAAGGGTCAGAATGAATGGTTGGAAGCCTACCTCAAGGCCTGGGGGACAGGGTAATTGGGACAGAGAAGGGACCAGGATGACAATAATTGTTAGAAGGGAGATGTGTCCTGAAAGTGGGCAAATAACCAAACTGATGGCCTCTTAGTATCTGTATTGGAAACAATAAATGATAATGCCCAAAGGGGGTGGGGGGAGAGAGAGAGAGAGAGAGAGAGAGAGAGAGAGAGAGAGAGAGAGAGAGAGAGAGAGAGAGAGAGAGAGAGAGAGGAGTCTGCTATAAAGGCAGGCAGGGGAAGGGGTGGCAGGAGGGATACAGGGATAATATTGGTGATGGGAAATGTGCACTGGTGGAGGGATGGGTGTTGGAACATTGCATGACTGAAACTCAATCGTAAAAGCTTTGTAACTGTATCTCACGGTGACATGGTGAATAAATTAAAAACAAAATTTCCAGGAGCCTAACCCCTGGTATTTCAAAGTCATCTCTGTGTAAAATATCCTGTAAGAAAGAAAAACCATTGACCTTCAACAGCAAACATATTACAAAACGGTCAGCAACCGTATTGCAGTGAGAAATCTTAAGGAAACTGCAGTTGCCCTTTGTCACACATCACAAAGTACAAAACAACGAGTACTGACATGCATGTGGCATGTGGCGGGGGGGGGGGTGGAGGGAGGAATCCTCATCCACTGCTGTGATGAATCATTGGGATTATCAACCGGCCCAACCTTTTTGGGAAAACAATATGAACACTTCTCAGAAAACTAAGAATTGAGCTTTCACATGACCCAGAAATTCTGCTCCTTAGCATCCCAAGGACCCATTCTGAAAAACACTCCTGTATTCCTATATTCACTGCAGCACTATTTACAATTTCCAAAGTATGGAAACAATCTGAGTCACTTGTACAATAAGTAATGGCTAAATAAACTATAGTACAAGGGCCAAAGAGACCGTACAGTAAGTAAAACACTTGCATGGTACGTGACCAAAACAGATTCCATCCCCTGCACCCCACATGGTCCCCGAACCCACTGGGAGTGATTCCAAAATACAAGAAACTCTCATAAATATATTATTGTAAGCCACAGTGCCTAAAAATAATAATTTATTATTAAAAAAGAATTTTTTGCTTGTTGACGATCAAAAAAATAAAATTTTAAGAAAGGACATTAAAATGGTCTTCCCTTTCTTAAGTCCATATCTTCATAAAGTCCATTTTTCTTCATATGCTTTAGCCAAGACAACACACTATAACAGACTAAATGCAAAGGCAATTTGGAGTCCAGCTATACTCAACAAAGGCACATTATAGAATTTTGTAAAAAATCAAACAAATGTAAAATATTATTTGAGTTTTTTTAATGTAACTTTTTCATTATTATTTATGTTAATGCATAATACCTAAATACCTTATTTTAAGTGAACTGATAAATATTTCTTGTTCCTCTCTTGGCTGGAGCGATAGCACAGCAGTAGGGCATTTGCCTTACAAGTGGCCAACATGGCCGACCTGAGTTCGATTCCTCCGCCCCTCTCGGAGAGCCCAGCAAGCTATTGAGAGTATGTCGCCCGCATGGCAGAGCCTGGCAAGCTACCCGTGACGTATTTGATATGCCAAACACAGTAACAACAAGTCTCATGATGGAGACGTTACTGGGCCCGCTCAAGCAAATCGATGAACAACGGGAGGACCGTGACCGTGACCATTCCTCTATTTGAATTTCTAATACAATGTGGGGTTTCAAATTCTCTTTAAAAATATTTTTTATTTAAAAAAGTTGCCTTCCTTTCAGAAAGGAACCTCAGAAAGATGCAAAACTATGAGGCAAAATTGTTTCATCTGGAGAACTACATGGAGAAGGGTAGAGAGACAAACAGACCAACGCACACATGTCAAGCTGAGATATGGATGAATCCCCAAGAGAGAGAAATGCTGAAATTTCAAATTCTAATACAACTGATATAAATAAAAGGAGTGATCTACATGAAAATTTAATTTATATGGATAAATTCTTTTAAAAATTCCTGTTTTCAGGGAAAAATTGAATTTTTTGAATATACTTTTAATTAATCTGAATCACCAAATACTTAAGGGTCTTAAAAATTTTAATAGCACTGCATTGTAGCACTGTGTTCTCCTTGTTCATCGATTTGTTTGAGCAGGCACCAGCAACGTCTCCATTGTGAGACTTGTTACTGTGTTTGGCATATCAAATACACCACGGGAAACTTGCCAGGCTCTGCCATGCGGGCAGGATACTCTCGTTAGCTTGTTGGGCTCTCCAAGAGGGATGGAGAAATCAAACCCGGGTCGGCAGCGTGCACGGCAAATGCCCTACATGCCGTGCTATTGCTCCAGCCAAAAAAAATTTTTGATTTTTTTATTAAAAAATTTTAATAAACATTGAATCTAGTTCAAGAAATCCAGTTCATGGAAGTACTCTCTCGGACTGGGGTGCCTGATCATGCTCACAAGAGAATCACAGTAGTAGGGGCCAGAGAGATAATACAGAAGGTAGGCCCTTGCCTTGCAAGTGATGCAACTAGGTTCGATTCCTAGCACTAAATATTGTCCCCTTAGTGTCACCAGGAGTGATTCCTGAGCACAGTCAGAAGTCAATCCTTGAGCATAGCCAACTGTGGCCCAAAAGCCAAACAAACAAAAAAAATCAATGAAAATCACTATATTACTAAAAATACAAATCAAATAAAATACACACTAGAACTTGCTTAAATATATTTTGGTACATATGTGTCAGTTGAAGAAAAGAACACAAACATTCTATTTTTTAAAATCAATATGACAGATATTCTGTGCATGCAGAGTAAATTTCTGGAAAGATATACATAGATGAATCATGGAAGTGAGTTTAGGAATTGGAACACATTTTCTTTTAAAAAAAATTAGATGGTTTTGGGGGATGAAGCAATAGCACAGCGGGTAGGGCGTTTGCCTTGCACGCGGCCGACCCAGGTTGAATTCCTAGCATCACATATGGTCCCCTGAGCACCGCCAGGGGTAATTCCTGAGTGTAGAACCAGAAGTAACCCCTGTGCATCACCGGGTGTGACCCCAAAAGCAAAAATAATAATAAAAATTAGATGGTTTTTGAGCCAGAGAGACAGTATAGCAGGTAAGGCTTTTGCCTTGTATGTGGCTGCCCCTGGCTGGATTGTCAATACCCCAGATGGTCTCTGAGCACAGAACCAGGAGTAAGGTCTGACTACCACTGGGTGTGGTCCTCCCCCCCCACACACAAATACTAATACTCCTATTTTAGTTTTAGTTTCTTTATTACTATTAACTACAAAGATTTTTCTTTTGCTTTTACTGCATTTTAGGACAGTTGCTGATACTACTTAAGTGGCTGATTTTTGCAGACTTTAATCTGGTCACCGTAAGGAAAACACACGTGGCTCATCCTATTGTCATAACTGCCTGGATGACTTTGGGTCGTGTTTACCAAGAAATGCCAGGAGACAAAACAATGTAGCTGAAAGGTACAATGACACAACAGGCATGGTATTCTTCCTTAACAGGGCACTCGCTCCTGAGTAAAAACTGTTGAAGCACTCAAAGCACAACTGGATATTCTCAGAGCCAGGAAGAAGAAGGGAAAGGGTTTGGTAGCAGTAGGAATGATACTATCTATGAGTCAAATAGGCAACATCAAAAGTACCCCAAATATTACAAACATCCAAAGTAGATATGCATATGTATGTATATATGTGTATATATAAAGTAATTTAGATCAATATTAGAAATGACATTACCTCCTGAGGAACTCCAAGTCTTTTAGCTGGGATATTCTCAAAATGCGCTTCAAATAAGTCTTTTGCCAAGTGACCGTAGTTGTCGAAAGCAGTCTGGGAATAAATTACTCCCTGTGTATAAAAAATAAAAAGGGAACAGAATAAAGTACATATAATTAATTCAACTTAACTGCAAAGACATAAAAACAGCCTCTCAAGTAATAACAAAAAGTAATTGACTTAAAAGTAATAGAAGTTAACATTTCTAAGCATTTTTCTTTCAACAGTGTCAAAGCTCAGCTGGTCACATACCTGGATGAGCTGAATAGTTATTTTGGGACTCTCTCTATCTTAATAAACAGGCGAGCCTTAGGTTTTTTCAGGAAAGACAGAATTTCTGAGAGTATAATTCTATGACTAGGCAATTGATTGGGAACAGAGGGTTTAATTCCTCTTTGGCTGCACTGCTCTGCTTTATAGCTTTATAGTACCATGGCCAAGTGAGACTTGGAACATGCAGTATTTTCATGACTGTTAACCAAGAACACAACCACAAATAAAACATTTCACGACAGTTTTCATTAATGATCATTTTATAAGATGAAATAAGGCAATTTCCCAGTCTATGGATGGAACTTGAGGACATCATGCTGAGTGAAGGAAGTCTGAAGGAGAGGGAGAGATGCAGAATGACCTCTGTCATGTGTGGAATATACAGAAACATTGTCAAGAAGAAAGAAATGGCAACAGAATCTGAGAGTTAGCCTATGGTATAGTGTTAGCTACACTGACACTCTGGGGGTGAGGGTGGTGTGACAACATTGTATACATAAAATATTGTTAAACTGTATTGTAAATCACAGTGCCTTGATAAAAATGGAATTTTAATAAAGAATTATTTATTTTCTATTAGCTCTAAGGGGGGGGGCTATAAGGACAGGAAAATTACTCAAGACCTATATAATATGGGCTAAAGCTGTTTGTCATTGGTTCATAGCTAAAACAAAACTTAATCAGAGGAAACAGGAGTCAAAGAAAGATGAAGAAAGTGGAGGTAATAATCAGTCCAATTAAATTTTGACAATACACTGGCTTTCTCTCTCTCTCTTTCTCTCTCTCCCCCCCCCCTTCCTTAGAGCTCAGGGAGCCAAATGGGATGCCAGGGATTGACCTCAGGTCAGCTACATACAAGGCTAGTGCCCTACCTGCAATACTGTTTCTTCAGTCCAAATACACTGATTTTCAATAAAACAATTCATAAGTTCTGGTTTAAGGATATGACGTCTTCTAGAAGTATTAAGATTTAGACACTAAACCTAAAAAGTTCTTTGGAAGACAAACATGATAAAGATTTCATGAAGTACACTGTTAGAGAATTAAGAGGCATCAAATTAAGAGTGGAACTCAATCTGATCCTTAATAAATCTTGTGACTGTCTGGAAAGAAAGATGGCGGCCGCACGGGAGCCTTGTGGAGAGCAGGTTTGAGCCGAGGGTGGAGGCGGCAGGGACCTCATGGGAAGGGGGTTGTAATGGGCTGTCCTTCACGCCCGACCGAGGTCACCAGCTGCCCCCCACGAGCGGCTCTCCGGAACGGCCACGGCTCCAGAGCACAGAAACCAATCTCTTAACTATCTAACTTTTAATAGAAATTCTTCCAGGGTTAATAAGTAAAATAGCAGAAATCCAAAACCGCACAGCCACTATCACCGCCGCGAGACATCATTTTATTCTTTTTTTTTTTTTTTAATTTTTATTAGTGAAACACCATGAGGTACAGTTGTAGACTTACAAATTTTTGTGCTTGGATTTCGGTCATACCATGATCAAATACCCATCCCTCCACCAGTGCCCATTTTCCACCACCAAGGATAATATCACTCCCCCCCATTCCCCCCATCCCCCCCTGCCACTGTGGCAGGGCATTTCCTTTTGTTTTCTCTCTCCTTTTGGGTGTTGTGATCAGCAAAAGACGCATTGAGTGGCAAACATGTTCAGTCCAGTCTACTTTCAATCTGCATCTCCCCTCCTGGGAGGATCCTCCAAACACCCTCCATTTGGTGCTCCCTTCTCTATCTGAACTGTCCTTTCCCCTAAATACCCGGCTGGCCTCTAAGCTATGGAGTAATCCTCCTGGTGTTGATCTCAGCTATTCTTGGGTATTAATCTCATATTTTGTTATTTTATATCCCCCAGATGAATGCAATCTTTCTGTCTATCCCTCTCTTTCTGACTCATTTCGCTTAGCATGATACTTTCCATATTGTACCACTTGTATGTAAAGTTCATGACTTCATCTTTTCTAAGAGCTACATAGTACTCCATTGTGTAGATGTACTTAAGTTTCTTTAACCAGTCATCTGTTCTTGGGCACTCAGGTTTCTTCCAGTTTCTGGCTACTGTAAAGAGTGCTGCAATGAACAAACAGGTGCAGATGTCACTTCGACTACACATTTTTGCCTCTCTGGGATATATTCCCAGGAGTGGTATCACTGGGTCAAATGGGAGCTCAATTTCTAATTTTTTGAGGAACGTCCATACTGTTTTCCAAAAGGGCTGAACCAGTCGGCATTCCCACCAACAGTGAAGGAGTGTCCCTTTCTCGCCACATCCGTGCCAGCAACGGTTGCTTTTGTTCTTTTGAATGTGGGCCAGTCTCTGAGGTGTGAGATGGTATCTCATTGTGGTTTTGATCTGTATCTCCCTGATAATTAATGATGTAGAGCATTTTCTCATGTGTTTTTTTGCCATTTGGATTTCTTCTTTGAGAAAGTTTCTGTTCATTTCATTGCCCCATTTTTGGATGGGGTTGGATGTTTTCTTCTTGTGGAGTTCAACCAGTATTTTGTATATCCTTGATATCAACCCCTTGTCAGATGTGTATTCGGCGAATATTCTTTCCCATTCTGTAGACTGTCTTTGTATTTTGGTCACTGTTTCTTTGGAGGTGCAGAAGCTTCTTAGTTTAGGATAGTCCCATTTATCTATCTCTGTTTTCACTTGCTCAGCCAATGGCGTGGCATCTTTGAAAATACCATTAGCCTCAATGTCATGGAGGGTTTTGCCAACTTTGTCTTCAATGTACCTTATGGTTTCTGGTCTGATGTTGAGGTCTTTAATCCATTTTGATCTTACTTTTGTACATGGTGTTAGGCAGAGTTCTGAGCCCATTTTTTTGCATGTAGCCGTCCAGTGATGCCAGCACAATTTGTTAAAGAGGCTTTCCTTACTCCACTTCACATTTCTTGCACCTTTGTCAAAGATTAGATGATCATATGATTGAGGGCATCATTTTGTTCTTAAACCAAGTTGTAGAAAGCAAATCATTTCACAACGCTGTTTCAGCATGTCTGATTGGGGGTCGTAAACTCTAAACAATAATTGTGCATCTTCTATCGAAACAATGTATCTAGTCAAAGTAGACAGAGTATTAACTAGAACTCATCTGCCTCACAGGAATTGGGAGGGGTGGGAGGTGGGGTTCTATTGGGGTTCCCGGTTAAAAATAAGTATTGGTAAAGGGAAATGTGTTTGATATTTACATGACTGAGACCTAAACCCGAAAGCTCTGTAACTTTTCCCACAGTGATTCAATAAAGAAATAAATTATAAAAAAATAAATAAATAAAAAATAAATCTTGTGACTGTCTTAGTATGATATGGGTTATATAACATCAGCAATGAGACCAGAAATGACCTGAAATTTTTGGCTAGAAGAATAAAATTTGGTGGTATGGGGGGATGGGCGGTGGGAGGGATACTGGGATCAGTGGTGGTGGAGAATGGGCACTGGTGGAGGGATGGGTGTTTGATCATTGTATAACTGAAACCCAAGCACAAAAATTTGTAAGTCTACAACTGTACCTCATGGTGTTTCACTAATAAAAATTTAAAAAAATAATAAAATTTGTTAGATATGAAACATTTCCATTAGCTTATAAAAACCAGTTGATGTTTTGTTACCATTGGGCAAGCATGGATTGCAATGCTTATAAATATTAGAGGTAGATCCAAAGATCAACTCCACAAATGAGGAGTTTCTGAAAAGGGGATGATTAGCACCATTGTAAGCACCATTGTAAGCACACATTAGAAACTACATCTTGGGCCTCAGGAATCTCTTCTAACCTTTCACTCTGTGTTGCCTCCCTATTCTGGTAAAGTATGTGTTTGATGTTTAACCAGGTTCAGCTCTGGATAGAGAGAGCAGGATAGATAGAACCAGAGAACCTCTGAAGGGATTCCTGAAGCTTCTTCCTCTTACCCAAGAACTCCTTTTGTCCCCATGGAGGAACAAACAGGCACTCTGAGAAGACTGCTGAAGTTTATCAGACTCCATTCTGCCACAGACCCCACAATTTTCTTCTCTCTCTCCCAACCTGCCCTATATTAAAAAAAAAAAACTACCCCCCAATGTGAAAGCAAGATGGTCCTTTGGGACAAGTACAACATCTTCTAGGGTTGCCAAGCCCTGAATAAACCTGTTTTTCTCAAATGAAGTCTAATCTCTTGTATAATAGACTTCAAATGGCAAATGCTGAAACTGGATTTGGTAATGACATTATAAAAGACATTTGGCTGAGTTTTGCAAGATGAGGTATTTCATTTAATGTCTTTTTTGGAGTACCTAGCTATTATGTAATACTCAAGCAAGCTTAAACTATATAAAAAATGAAATATAAAAATGCATACAGAGAGAAAATTTTTGTTTTGGATTTAAACATACAATGATTTCCTCTATAATAGTCGATATATATATATCAGATATATTTTCTTGACTCAGATATAATTCTCAACTGAGAATTCCAATTAAACTTCCAAGAATTTTGACCTGAAGTTTCTTCTCCCAGTGAGGGATTTATGATATAACAAGAAACAACACAATAATCTGGATGAATTTATTGTTTAAAGCAGTAGTTTACAGGGGCTGGAGCCATAACACAGCGGGTAGGGCGTTTGCCTTGCATGTGGCGGACCCGGGTTCTATTCCCAACATCCTATATGGTCCCCTGAGCACCACCAGGAATAATTCCTGAGTGCAAATCAGGAGTAACCCCTGTGCATCGCCAGGTGTGACCCAAAAACAAAACAGAACAAAAAAAAAAGACAAAAAAAATAAAATTGGTTTTTAAAAAAATAAAAATAAAGAGGTAGTTTACAATCTTCACCATGCAGTTGAATTTTCTTGGTGTTTTTCAAACTACAGATTCCTGGAAAACATAGTTGGGAGTAAACCTATATGTCACTATTTTTAAGTAACTTTTCACAGATACTTCTAATGTACAGCTGAAAGTGAGAATCACTGGTCTGATTTAACCTTCTTGAGAATCTGGTTGCAAATCAAAGAGTATTTCCCCAATACAAAAAGCTTTTCTACATTTCAGAAGTTAACCTTGTCCCATTTATAGGGGCATTAAAGAACTCATCTACAATGCAAGTATAATTGGAGGCACACAGAAATATATTCAGAGCAAACCTTTACTTACCGGGGCAACACAGTTGATTCTCACTCCACTGCTAGCCCATTCAATAGCTAAGGTTTTGGTGAGGTTGTAGATACCTTCTCTGGCAGCTCCAGTGTGTCTTGCAAAGACAAAATATACACATTATAATCCCATTCTGTCAAATAATCTTCTTAGTATCTAAACTAACAAGTGTGCTAATGAGCTGTCAGACCCTCACAAGAGTTCAGTCTTCATATAGGTCTGTGTCTTTCCAAGTCTGCCCCTCCATTGAAAAAGAACCAGATTTTCCAATAGTAAACACAGCTAGCTGAAAATCTAACAAATCTACTGTGAACAAGTCCCCAGAAGATGCCCCTAAATACCATGAACATAAGAGGAATACTTTGAAGAGCTTTTTGATTATGGAGGGAAACAAACGGACAATGGTCACAAGCATGGTTGCTTTTTCCATCAATTTTAAATAACAATGGATGTGAAAGATATCTAACAGCTAGAAATTTTATCAAAAGGATTTCTAGACGTAACAAAATTAAAATAAATTTTAACATATTTTTACACAGGGGTTCAAAATATGTAGACATACATCCACATGGGTTCCCATGCAGAAGATATAGATGGAGATAATGGCTTAGACATTTTTATCTACAATGTCCAAAGAACCAAAAAAAAAACTCGTGATATGGGGCTGTATACAAGAGTTTAAGCCCTGTCTGTCACTATCTAGACTAAGGAGACCTCTGGATCAACAATGCATTGGATATGATTCCATTTTACTATTTTATTTTAAATTAATTTTTATTAAAAACACCGTGATTTACAAAGTTGTTCATTCTGTAGTTGTTTCTGGCATTTATTGTTCCAACGTCCAGCGTGACCTACCCTCCACCAATATCCCCAGTTTCCCTCCCAATATTAACCTACCCTTTAGGCACATAACAAATTTACTTTATATTGCTTGTTCCATCTAAACTTTAAGAAATGGCAAAAAACCCTGCACCCCAAAAGAGCCCTGGGAGCCAAAAACCTCCAGAACTCAATCGCTGCCATATACACGGTCAATCTCCACAGGCTTAAAGAGCCTCATCCATGAGTGATTCTACTAAAAATCCCAGGTATGAGGGATTTGTGACTGAAATCTCTAGGCATGCACTGAGTCAGGAATGAGCAAATCTCCCCTCTCCTCCTCCCCCCTCCTCCCCCTCCCCCCCCTCCGTGTCCTGTGCTTCTGGCAGCCTGGTAGTCATACCCACAAACTGCCTCTGGCACAATAGCTCATTAACGGCCATGATCCAGAGACTCAAAATAAATCTCTCGGAAGGGAGCAACACAGAGCAACACCCTGGACCCCAAGTTAAGAAAAAATTAATTTCACCATCCAGTTAAAAAAAATTAAACTAAACTCAGCTGTATAACCATATTTAAAATTTTTAGAATTCCTGAATTTTAAATGACATCTCATACTCTACACCACTGATGTACCAAGAGTAAAGTAAAGTAAAGTAAAGGCCCTCCCATTGATCATCGATTTGCTTGAGCAGGCCCAGTAACGTCTCCATTGGAGACTTTGTTGTTACTGTGTCTGGCATATTGAATACGTCACAGGGAGCTTGCCAGGCTCTGCCGTGCAGGCGAGATACTCTCGGTAGCTTGCCGGGCTCTCCAAGAGGGGCGCAGGAATCGAACTCGGGTCGGCCATGTTGGCTGCGTGCAAGGCAAACGCCCTACCGCTGTGCTATCGCTCCAACCCGTAACAAGAGTAGCATACCACATTTGATGGGATATAAAGTTGAAGGCAACCAATCTCAACAAATATATATATATATATATATATATATATATATATATATATAGCACAGTGGTAGGGCATTTGCCTTGCGTGCAGCCAGCCCGGCCGAGTCGGGTTCTATTCCTCCACCCCTCTCGGAGAGCCCGGCAAGCTATCGAGAGTATCTTGCCCGCACGGCAAAGCCTGGCAAGCTACCCGTGACGTATTCGATATGCCAAACACAATAACAAGTCTCAAAATGGAGATGTTACTGGGCCCACTCGAGCAAATTGATGAACAATAGAAGGACAGTGACAGTATATTGCTTGTTATGAATCACCTGCTATACAAAATAAATTATTTAGATCCTGCTTTGGGGGTAGGTTTTGGGACTCAGGATGGAAACACTCAAAATATGGTGGTGGGAAGGTATAATGGTGGTAGTATTGGTGTTGGGATATTAATGTAATAAATTTTTGTGAACAATTTTATAAAAATAAAATAAATTTTTTTAAAAAAAGAAATGGCAAAAGAATGGTCAGAAAATAAATCAGTGAGAGTCAATTTGTGATTACTATATGATTCTGACCTATGTGGAAAAGGAAATTAAGACCATTTAATACAATATAATAAAATGCCTACAATTCTGACCTAGAAATTAATCTGCTGAAAAATGCAGATATGCAGGTTTTGTGACTGATATCTCCAGGTTTTTCTTGGCACCAAGAAGGGCTACCTCCCCCTACCTCCTAGTACTTTTGGAAGCCCCAGCAGTCACATACACACAACAAAGTCAATATCCAGTTAAAAATTTAACTCCAGGTATCCCTTTAACTCCAGGCCCTTTAAAAATTCTGGGCCTCCTGGAGCACTGACATCTCAATCTCGGTAGAAGCACATCAGATTGGATGGGATGTAATGCAGAAGGCAACTAATCTCAATTAACATTTGACCATTTTAACTACAGGTCCCACATTCAATCGTTGTCTAAGGAGGCCTATTTCTGCATCAGATGTGATTTAAACCTCATGCAACTTGTGCAGTTACAGCTAATAATCTTTAACGGCTGTCACTTTGCTTCATATCCTTACTAAAACTTATCAATAGGTGGTAAAATGGTATACAATTCTGTGTCTTTTTCATGGCACTAACAAATGTTTTAAGTACTGCTATGACTTGGGCTCCTTTATGTTGGTTTCTTGCACTTTGAATTATTTTTTTGAAATTCATCTGTTTCACTGCTTGAATCAACAAGCCATTCCTTCCTATTCCTGAGTTCATTATACACACATCAATATGTTTATTCATTCACTCACTGATGACCTTTTGGATAATGACCTGGACTCCATGGGAGATGTGAGTTGCTTTTTGGCTGATCTCTTCATGATGACCCAAGGAAGTTTAGACTCCCTTGGCCAGGCTGTAATGAAAACTAGAGTACCCTTAAAGGACACTGAGAAAAAAATGACTAGGCATCCATAGAGAAATGTGTGAAGACAGCAATACAGTTTAAATACACACACAAGCTACTTAGATACTATTGAAGCCAATAGATTATTCTCTGAGAATTCCATTTCTTGTCCATCATACCCAATGTTGACAACACATACCTAGGTGAGGCCGTGGGTAGCAGGTAACAAAAAGTAAGAGAGTGCAAAGTAGGAAGAACTGAATTTACCTTTACTATTTACCCTTAACCCACAAATCCTCTGCCATCATGTGCTCTAAAGAAATATCTCCACAAATAGAAACCACGTGTACAATGTTATGTAATGTAGAATTATACGCAATAGAAAATGTGTAAGTATTATAAATGTCTTTCAAATTTGAGACAATGTGAGCATTTGGAAAAATAATTTGAAAAGAAATCTGTGAATCCAAGGTGGCATGCAAAAAGGAATAGTAATAATAATAATAATAATAATAATGATAAATGATAAAAAATAGACAAAAAGAAAAGTTGCTTCAAGTAATATCAGGGACCAGAGTGATAGTACAGTAGGTAGGGCACATCTTTATATGTGAATGACCCAGGTTAAATTCTCGGCACCCCACCACTACCTGAACATCACTGAATATGGCTCAAAAAAAAAAAAAGGCGTGTGTGTGTGTGGGGGGGAATGAAGACTATCTGCTACCACATACAGAAACAATGATGATACAAGAAATACAATTTTCATACCACCATTGTAATAAACTATTAATGTGAGGGTCAAAAATTGTTGCTAAATCATGAGAGGAAATAGAACATTCAAATAGCACCTTGATATTATTTACTAATTTAAAAATAGTTAACATCTAATTAGTTAAGAGGTTACTTCCGGGATCAAAGGGTATAAAATTATGAATGTCTATCTTCTACAGTTTTTAATATAAACACTTGTATACATTATTTTTATTACACTAGATCTCCATTAAAATATTTTAAATTTTAATTAAAAAGAGAAGGAATCAACGTTTACATAATACATTAAAGAATCAACAAAACTAAATATTTTTTTCTCTTTTTGGGTCACACCCGGAAATGCACAGGGGTTACTCCTGGCTCTGCACTCAGAAATTACTCCTGGCGATGCTCAGGGGACAATAAGGGATGCTGGAAATCCAACCCAGGTCGGCCACATGCAAGGCAAATGCCCTACCTGCTGTGGTATCACTCCACCCCAAAACTAAATTTTTTGACCAGACTTATTTTTGTGGGGTGAAGGTTTGGGTCACCTCCAGTGGTGCTCAGATGTTACAGCTGGATCAGTGTTGGGGTGGCTCCTGACATTGCTCTGGGGACCTCTGGTGCTTAGGATCAAATCCAGGCATCCTGCAATCAAAGCATGTGCTCAGCCCACTGGCCTATCTCTCTAGACCTAAACCCAACTTTTTAATAGCTAAGCTTGTTAATAGCTAAGCAAATGTTTTTCTACATTCTATTTCAATGGCCCCTTACACCAGGAGAAAACAATTTACTGAATCAACAGGATGAACTAGTTCATTGTCTTTCTTTCTTAAAATAAAAACAATTTCCATAGCTTAGAAGCCGGCCTCACCTGCTGGGGGAAAAGGCAGCTCAGATAGAAAAGGGACCACCAAGTAAAGGGTGCTAGGAGGGCCCACTCGGGATGGGAGATGCGGGCTGAAAGTAGACTATAGACCGAACATGAAGGCCACTTAATACTTCTACTGCAAACCACAATACCCAAAAGGAGAGAGAGAGCAAAAGGGAATGCCCTGCCACAGAGGTGGGATCCGGTTGAGGGGACGGGGTGGGGGTGGTAGAAGGGATGCTAGGACCACTGGTAGTGGAAAATGGGCCCTGGTAGAGGGATTGGTACTTGACCATTGTATGATGAAATGCAAGCATGAAAGTTTTTAAGTCTGTAACTGTACCTCATGGTGATTCACTAATAAAAAATTTTAAAAAAACAATTTCCAATATACATAGATATAATATATATATATATATATATAAATTATTTTCCCTTGGAGCCACAGAAAGCACATACATTGTTACTGAGCTATACCCCCAGCCACACATTGTCAAAATTTATCAGAATCAGAAACAAAGATAAAAAAAATGTGCAGAATTTTATTATGGAGTCATAATTTAACAGTTCTATCTAAACTCAAATAGGTATATTCAAATATAAATAAGCATATATAGTTTCACTTCTATACCTTACCAAAAAAGAGAATAATGAAAAACAATGATCCATTTAGTAACACCTGGATTTGAACCATGGGATAAAAATACAGAGATATTCTGCAAAATTTGAATTACTGAAATGCAAAAAAAAAAATTGAGCATCAGTATGCCCCATATAATACTTAAAACATACAGCACAACAGAATTACTTAAGTGTCCTGTTCTCATTTTGCTGTTATCAATTGAGTAACCCTAATATGAGTGGGAATATTTTAGAAGAACTAAAGTTCAATAAAGTGAAATGCTAGGTACTGATATTCTAAACTCATTAAAAGGATCACCTAACTTAAGGCTTTTTTTTTCTTTATTCAGCTAACAATTCAAAGGATACTGGGGGGGGGGGGCAAATAAAAATGCTTACGCAGCTCCTGGAAATCCGTTTTTAGTCAGGACAACGATGTTGACAATTGACCCTCCATGCTCCTTCATCCAGGATTTGTAAACTGTAGGATACAGACAAAGAACCCTATTAATCCCTAATCATTTTCCCAGTCCCTGTTCCAGCATGCTGCTTATTAGTAATTTTTCTGTCTACAGTTTGTTTTGAGGAGGGGGCTCCCAAACAGAGCTTAGGATCAAAGGGAGCAGCCTGGTATTCTGGTCAAACCAGGCTGGGGATATGGTGATGCTCAGGTCTATGGCACAGTGCTAGTGGGTAGGGGATGGGGCCGGGGAGGGAGCACCAGAACCACCCTGGCAGTGCCCGGTTTATATCATGTGATGCTCAGGGTCAAGTGGTATCAGGGATCAAACCAGTCTCGCATGTACCCTAACACCAGCCCTATTTTTCCTTTCTATAAAAATCCCAATTGGACAATTTACATACCATAAAATTCAAGAATTCTACACTTACTTTTTTTGTTTGTTTGTTTTTTGGGCCACACCTGGCAATGCACAGAGGTTACTCCTGGCTCTGCACTCAGGAATTACTCCTGGCGGTGCTCAGGGGACCATATGGGATGATGGGAATCGAACTTGGGTCGGCCGCATGCAAGGCAAACGCCCTACCTGCTGTGCTATTGCTCCAGCCCCCTACACTTACATTTTAAATATATTTTTTAAATAAGAATTTGTGTAACCATCATTTATCCAGTTTTGGAATCTTTCTACTACCCCAGAGGGTTTTTATTTTTGTTTTATTTGCAAATAAAAAATTATTTTTTTGTCTATTTATAGCTCGATCCTTTCCAGGAATACTGATCTATTTTCTACTTCTATAGATGTGCCTTTGCTAAATACTTCACACACAGGGAATTATACAAGGGGCTGGAGCAATAGTACAGCATGAGTTTGTTTTTAACCTCTCCTTTGTGCTCTCCCCCACCCAATCTGTTAGTCACATATATCCCCAAAACAGACCCTGTAACTTGCAAAGTCAAATTCTTCTGAGGGCTCTGGATTTTGTGTATGTAAGTGAAGTAATGCTTTTCTTTTTCCTTTATGCCCTTTGCATGGTTTTTTGGAGATCAATATCCTTTTTGTTTAGACACAGGAAGACAGTTAATGCTATGTTTTTGTAACATGGGAACTAAATGACTCTGAATAATATTTACCCCTGGGCATCCATCATAATTACTTAAACCTCAGTTGCCCTACTCCCTAACACTCCCAAGAGGAGGGTACTGGCAAGGGACTTGGATGCACCCAGGGCAAGCTGTAAGCTACCCTGGCATCAAAAAGGAATAGGCAAAGTGCCATAAGAAGTAGAAGAAGTTAAAAGCAAGGAAGAAACTGACATGACCCAACAAGGATGTTATTGAATAAGGACCCTGCTGGGATTAGGAAAGACTAACCTGGCCTGAGGACTATAGTCTGGGATATATAGCAAGAAGTCCCCAGGAAGTCACCCTTTAAGCTTAATATTATCTCCTACAGTGTCCATACAAAATGACTAGAAATATTATTAAGTATTAAAGTTAAGATGACTGTCTAAATGTATTCCTAGCTAAGGAAATGAGAAAGCCTAAGTCCTTAGATGAAATTCCACCCTTGGGTGGATCTCCTAACAGGAATCTAGAGAGCTTAGCACTACATGAGGTCCTGTCCTCGAGTAAATATTCTAGAAGAACTTCCTCTGAAGGAAGGGCTTTATATCTGTTCATTGTTTATGATAATTTTCAACCACACCTATATGTAATTGCTCCCCCCACAACCCTTCATGATTTCTCTGTAACTAACACTGTGAGACTTAAATAAAGGGCCACTGATTACCAACCAGACTGTGGCCCCTGTTCCTTTGTTCATCTGTCTCTGTCAGCTGGCCAAGAGGTGGTGATTCAACCCAAACAGACCAAGGGGACCCATGGGTCACCGCTGACGGTGACAATTCTTATATACAAAGAATGAATCAGAAGAGAAAAGGATCAAGGAGTGAATCCCATTTAAAATAGTATCCAAAAACATCAAGTACCTAGGAGTCAACTTGACAAAAGAGTTAACAAAACAAAAACTACATCAGGAGAACTTTAAATCACTGAATAAAGAGATAGAAGAAGGCCTTAGGAAATGAAAAAAAAATCCTATGTTCATGGAGTGAAAGAATCAATATTATTAAAATGTCTATCCTACCTACCTAAACTACTATATAGATTCAATGCAATCCCCATCCAAATTCAAACAACATTTATCCAGAACGTAGAAAAGTCAAAAATAAAATTTGTATGGAATCAGAAAAAAATCAAAAATAGCCAAAATGACACAGAAAAATAAGAAATTGAGAGCTATTTCATTACACAATTTGGAAGTGTATTATAAAGCTAGAGTGATCAAAACTGAATGGTACTGGAATAAAGATACACCCTCTGATCAATGGTTCAAAATTGAATGGCCTAAGAAAAAACCCCATATATATGTGCAGTTAATTTTCGATAAAGGAACTGAGAACATGAAAGGGAGTAAATATAGCCCCTTCAACAAATGGTGCTTGGGAAACTAAATAGCTATGTGTAAGAAACTAAAAAACCCAGCTCCCAGACATCTTATTATCTCATTCCTACTTTGAACAAACTGGCAGGCTACTAAATGTAACCTGCCCACACGGCACAGTCTGGCAAACTCCCCGTGGCGTACCCAATATGCCAAATACCAGTAACAATGATGGGTCTCATTCTCCTAAACCTGAAAGAGCCTTGAATACGGCACTTTAAAAAAAAATCTCAGGGCTAGGAGGAAGGAGACGTCACTGGGGCCTGCTTGAGGCAATCAACGAACAATAGGATGGTCGTGATCGTGAAGAAACTAAATCTGGATTCATATTTTCCACCTCACACAAAAAATCAATTCAAAGTGGATCAAAGATCTGGAGATCTGACCAGAAACTATAAAGCACTTTGAGGAAATATAGGTAGAACGTTTCAAGATTTGACACTCAAAGGTGTCTTCAATGATCTGATACCACTAACAAAGGCAACACAATCAAAAATAAACAAATGGGACTACCGTAACATTAAAAAGATTCTGCATGGCAAGAGAAAGATGAGTAAGACTAAAGGACAGCTGAGTGGGGAAAATATTTGCATTCAATGGCAACAGATAAAGGTTTGAGATGCAAGATATATAAAGTACACACAAAGAGCAACCAAAAAAATTTCCAAAACCTTATCAAAAAATGGGAAGAGGAAATGGATAGACACTTCTCAGAGGAAAACAGTAGGCACATGGAAAACTGCTCAGCATCACTAATAAACAGAAAAAAAACAAATCAAGATGACAATGAGATATCATCTCACACCAGTGAGAATGGCACAAAAATAGTAAGAACAATCTGTGTTGCTGAGGATGTGGTGAAAAGGAATTCTCATCCCCTACTGCTGGGAATGCTGATTGCTACAATCCTTGTGGAAAACTGTACAGAAAATTCTCAGTAAACTTAGAATTGAACTGCCATTCGACCCAGAAGTTCCACTGTTGGGCATCTACCCCCAGGATATAAAAACATTCAAAAGAACATATGCACACCATTATTCATTGCTGCACTCAGTACAATCGCTAAGATATGGAATCGACTTAATATCCAACAACAGATGAATGGATTATGAAGATGCAGTATATACACACAATGAAATATTATGCAGCTGCAAGGAATGATGAAACTTTGCCATTTGTAGCAAAGCGTTTGGAACTGGAAAATGACATGTTGGGTGAAGTAAGCCAGAAGAAGACAAACAGAGGATGAACCTCACTGACCTGGGGTATATAGGATACTGGATGAGGAAATGTTATTGTCATCAAAGGGTGAGGCTTGGATCACCCTTGACTTCAGTGTTTAGAGAGGAGAAAGAGAGAAGGAAAGAAATCAAGGTTGGGAAGAAGAGAATGGGTGAACAGGCATCAGGGCTTCATTTATACCAGTGATACGAGTGAAGGGTATAGCCATATATCCAAAACATAGCCTCAGCAAAACGGAAGACATGAGTTTCAGTGCAACCACTGAAACTTTGTAATGTACCTGTCAAGTTGACAGGAAGGGATAGGGTGGGGGTTGGGGTGGGGAGGGACTATGGGAACACTGGTGAAGGGAAGTTGACACTGGCAGCAGAACCGGTGTTGAAATATATACCTAAAACTCAACTACGAATAACTCTATATATCACAGTACTTTAATTAAAAGACAAGAATATGGACTGATATTCTGCCATAACATCTGGTTGAATTAAGAGGTTCCAAGAGTTGATATAGGTCTTTCAAACAAAATTATTATTGAAGTTCTCTTGAACTTTATGAGCATAATTTATAACTGTATGGCTATATCTCTATATATTCTTAAATTTTTCCTTCACAGTATTCTCACACAGTAAAATTAAAAGTTCAACAGAATCCAGTCTGCAGGTATTGCTCAATTTCTATTCATAAATGTATCAGTTTTCTCTCTCTCTCTCCCTCTCCCTTTCTCTCTGCTCTCTTTCGCTCACTCCCCCTATCACATCTCTCAAAATATTTTTCAATAAAAACAATTTTGTTTCACAGAAGAGTATCAATTTACATTCCTATGATGCAGATGAGTAAATCGGACAAGAAAATGGCTATATATTTGAAGCAAAGTTCTCTTTCAGAATTCCCTTATGGTCAGGCTATAGAGACAATATACAAAGTAGGGTGCTTACCTTATGGGCTCACAACTCAGGTTCAGTTTTCTGAACCCCATAGGGTTCCCCATGCCCTGCCCTGCTCAGTAAGTCCTAAGCACCACTGGTGTGGCCACCCAACACATACCAGAAAAAAACGAAAAGAAAATTCTCTATTATTTTTACTTATTTGTTATTATTTCCCTAAGTGTCTGGGATCAAACCTAGGTCTCATGCATACAATGCATATACTTTACCTTTCAGCCACATCCCTGGCTCTTGGCTTCTCTATGACCTGGGAAAAAACCTTCAATTCCATTTGTGTCTATAGGTTATACTTGCCTGCTTTGCACATGTAAAAGGTGCCTGTCAGATTGGTTTCAATCACAGCATTCCATCCTTTGGAACTGATGTTTTCGGCGGGAGACATGAACTGGCCTCCTCCATTGTTTACCAAGAAATCAATCCTACCATGAATATCTAAAGTAGATTTGATCAAATTATTCACCTAAAGAGAAATAGTAACAGCAAACTCATTAATAACCTACCTTCTCACTTGGACCAAAGGCTTGCTCTAGAAGATTCTCAACTTGCAGCCTCTCACACTGCACTATCAATCAGAGTCCCCCAATGTCTCGAGATCATATTAAAGTTGTCACTGGGATAAAACGATTTCTCCAAAGGCCTGGAGAACTCTGGAGTAAAGCAGGGGTCCATTGTGGTACTAATGTGTAAGCTACCAATCCAGAATAATGGAGCACGATAGAATCAGGTTAAATGTAGCAGTAAGAATTTTTTTTTTACCACAACACCCAATAAAAGAGAGAGAACAAAAGGGAATTCCTTGCCACAGAGGCAGGGTGGGATGGGGGGATGGGGGGTGGGAGGGATACTGGGATCTGCGGTGGTGGGAAATGGGCACTGGTGGAGGGATGGATATTTTACCATTGTATAATTGAAACTCAAGCACAAAAATTTGTAAGTCTACAACTGTACCTCATGATGTCTCACTAATAAAAATTTAAAAATATATATATAGTAGTGGGAAGGTGTAATGGTGGTGGGATTGGTGTTTGAATATTAAATGTATTCAAATATTATGAACTACTTTATATAAAATAAAAAATTATTTTTAAAAAATAATTTTTTTTTTTTTGCTTTTTGGGTCACACCCTGCGATGCACAGGGGTTACTCCTGGCTTAGCACTCAGGAATTACTCCGCCAGTGCTCAGGAGACCATATGGGATGCTGGGAATTGAACCCGGGTTGGCCGCATGGAAGGCAAACGCCCTACCTGCTGTATTATCGCTTCAGCCCCAGCAGTAAGAATTATTTAAATGGCAAATAACCTGAAAGGCAGTCAGTCCCAAGTTGCAAACACATCCAGGCTTCTCCTTGCTTCCCTATCCTGATTCTCTACCTCTTCTGAATTTACCAGGTCAATAGATCACTAAGGGAAACATATTTCCACACAGACACCTCTATGAGCTATTAATAAAGACCCAGGGCCAGAGAGAGTGAACAGTGGGGAAGGCACCGACCTTGCACGTGGCCAACTGAGGTTCGATCCCCAACACCAAATATGGTCGCATCAGCCCTGAAAGGAGGGATCCCTGAGCACATGGCCAGGAGTAAGCCGTGAGTACAGCTGGATGTGACCCCAAAATAAAACAAACACCAAAACACAGTCAGGCAAAGGAGACTCCCCCATTGCAAATTAAAATGAATGAGTTAAAAATCTCTTGGCTTTACGCGTCTTACCTCCTCTTCTTTACGGATGTTGCATTGCAGAGGAGTGACTTGAACCTGGCTATTGGCAGGTAGGTTGGCCTTCATTTCATCTGCAGCAGATTTTAATCTCTCCAATTTACGGGATGCGATGACCACATTACACCCTGAGAGAAAATGGTCAAAGAACAAGTTAGTATGGTTAATATGCTTTTGCTGGTTTTACAAATTCCAAATTTTAGTATTAGAAAATATTTCACGTAAAAACTGCTTCCATAAGTGAAATGAGTCAGAAAGAGAGGGACAGACATAGAAAGATTGCATTCATCTGGGGAATATAAAATAACAAAAATAGGAGACCAACATCCTAGAATAGTCGAGATAAGTTACAGGAGGTTTACTCCATGGCTTGAAGGCCAGCCACACATGCTATGGGAAAGGGCAGCTCAGACAGAGAAGGGAACACCAAGCAAAGAGTGCTGAGAGGATTCTCCCAGGATGGGAGATGCATGCTGAAAGTAGACTATAGACCGAACATGTTTGCCACCCAATGCCTCTTTTGCAAACCTTAGCAACCAAAAGGAAAGAAAGAACAAAAGAGAATGCCCTGCCACAGAGGCGGGATGGGATGGAGGTATGGGAGGGGTGGGAGGGTTACTGGGACCACTGGTGGTGGAGAATGGGCACTGGTGGGGGGAATGGATACTCGATCATTGTATGACCAAACCCATGTACAAATACTTGTAAGGTCAACAACTGCACCACATGGTGTTTCACTAATAAAAAAATTTTTTAAAAAGTGTTTGGGGGAAAATATGACTACAGAAAAATGTCTAATTTATGCTTGAGCAAAACCATAAAACTGTTATTCATGGAAAGGACAGACCCATAAGAAATTAATATCTGGTTTTGGATACTTACTGTTTCCTTTCCAATAAAATAGATGCTCCCCCCGCTCCCCACCCCCCCCCCCCCGGCAAAAAACAACTGCTTCCAGCCATGTTGGAGTCAAAAGAACTGAACTCACCCACCAGATCAAAACTACTTAAAGAAAAAAATATTCATAGAAAACTGTGGCTATTCCATCATTGGCCAGCAAGAAGCATAGGCTAGAGGTCCCAGAGAGCAGAAATACACATCAGAGGATTCAGAGATTAGCCTAGCTTGTATGTAGCCTCAGAAAGAGCTTCCTGTCTGCAGCAGAGGGAGGAGGAACCCATTCAGAAGCAAGTGGTTTTCTGGATGGTAGAGGCAAAGATGGGAGTGTAGAGAGGCCAATAACACAGGACAGAGAATAAAGGGAGTGACAGAGGGATTTCTAGAGATCCGCAGAGTTGCCTCAAATTTTCAACTGAAATGCGATCAGTACTTGTGGGTAAGGAAAGGATCTGAGAATGGAAAAAGAATCACTCAAAATGAGTCCTGGGAATGAACTCTGGTGCTCACAGAACACTGGATTACCCGCTCCCCTATGACAGCCTTTTATGACACATTAGATAAATATTCAGATGGGTGTCAGGAAATATGAGCCCTTGAATAAAAGCTGCTCAGGTCAACAGTGAACTCAAAGCAAGCCTTTTTGTAAAGTATAAAACGGTTTCCAAGTAATTTAACTTCATTCCAGAGTATAGCTCAAGAATATTTATCTGAGTGCTGGAGCAATAGTACAGCCAGTCGGCACTTGCCTTGTGCTCAATTAATCCATTCAATTACCACACCCCATGTGGTCCCCCAAGTCCAGCCAGGAGTGATCCTTGAATGCAAAGCCAAGAGTTGATCCAAGGCACCACCAGCTGTGGCCCCCAAACAACAACAACAACAACAACAACAAAATTACAGTCCTCCAAACTGCTAGGAGCATCTCATCAGGATTCTCAACAGAAAGAATTTCCCAGTTACACTTAGTATGGCCCCACCCTCCCCACCCTACCCCACCTCAAAATAAAATGAAAATGACCTGCATTATGTAAGGCATGCAAACAAATAGGAAAGTCATTTTTTTAAAGGCTAAAAATTCACTATTGGGGTCAGAGCGATAGCACAGAGGGTAGGGCATTTGCCTTGCACATGGCTAACCTGGGTTCGATCCCCGGCATCCCATATGGTCCTCCAAGCACCACCAGGAGAAATTCCTGAGTGCAGAACCAGGAATAACCCCTGAGCATCGCTGGGTGTGACCAAAAAAAATCACTATTGATAAAACTAAATAAAGCAGTTTAACATGAAAAATGTTTAACAAAAAAAGAGAGAAAAGGAACAAAGAAGAGAGAAGACTTTTTTTTTTTTTAGGAACAACTGTGTTCGAGGGCTGGAGCAATAGCACAGGGGGTAGGGTATTTGCCTTGCATGAGGCCGACCCGGGTTCGATTCTTCCACCCCTCTTGGAGCGTCTGGCAAGCTACTGAGAGTATCTCGCCCCCACAGCAAAGCCTGGCAAGCTACCTGTTGAGTATTTGATATGCCAAAAAAAGTAACAACAAATCTCTCAATTTGTCATGAGACATTACTGGTGCCCACTCAAGCAAATCGATGAACAATGGGAGGACAGTGCTACAGTACTACTGTGTGCCAGAAAACAATGCAATACCTCTTCTCATACGAATGAGTGTGTGAGTGTGTCTGTGTGTGTGTGTATGTGTGTGTGTGTGTGTTCAGATAGGCGAGCCACAAAGGCAACAAGAGGAAGGAAAATTGTGAATCTAGGAATTTGACCTCCTTTGAAAATAACTTACCAAAATAATGACAAAATACAGACTTATGCACTCATATAATGGCTAAAGAATTCATTCAAGCATACCTTCACTGCAACAGGGTTAAAGGAAATCCTTCAAATAGAAAAACAATGATTCCAAGTGAAAGATAGTACTGAAAAAATGAAAGAGATTCAAAAATAATCATTATGAGCACATATAGATTTTCATCTCTCTATTTGATTCATTTTGTACATGTGCTTTTTGTCTTTTAGACCATACCTGGCTTTGCTCAGGACTGATCCTGGCTCTGTGCTCAGGGATCACTCCTGGCAGTGCTTGGTGAACCATAGGTGATGTCAGGGATCAAATTCAGGTTGACTACATACAAGGCAAGTGCCTTGCTCTCTGTATTATATCGCTGGCCCACATGCAACTCTCTTTAAAAGTAAGTTATAGCTTACAGTAAAAATGATGATAGTATATTGTAGGATTTGTAAAACATGTACAAATAAGATGTATAAGAACAAAAGCAGGGCTGGAGTGATAGCACAGTGGGTAAGGCATTTGCCTTGCATGTAGCTGACCCAGGTTCAATCCCCAGCATCCCATATGGTCCCCTGAGCACTGCCAGGAGTAATTCCTGAGTGCAGAGCCAGGAGTAGCCCCTGTGTATCGCCAGGTGTGACCCAAAAAGATAAAAATAAATAAGTTTTTTTTAAAAAAGAACAAAGGCATGATTGTCAAGAAGGGTTAAACAAAAGGCCTTGTTTGACTCAGCTCTAGTAGTTACTAATATCAGTTATCTTGGCTAAATGAAATAGCCCTAGCCTCCCAAGAGTAGCATGGCTCACATCTCCTTGTTATTGAATATGAACTCTACAAAGTCACATAAATACAAACTTCACAGCTAGCTCTTCCATTTACAAATATCTCCACGCAAATAACCAGGTACATCACGATCGGTGAGTGATTATTTCACTTCATTCAAATGGTTGCCACTGCACATTTGTAAAGTCAGAATTGAAGATGGAGTTCCAAGAGGGACTATGAGAATACTGACACTGCCACCAGGGGTTTCCTTAAGGAACACGACTGAACTGCATTTGGCACTCACACCTACCTTACTAAGCCTTATTAGTCCATGTTGTCTTACATCTTGGACATCCTAAGGAGAATGTTTCCTTCTTTTCATGTAAAAATACAGCAAGCAGGCTTACCTTTGGGACTAGGGGTAGGGGCCTAGGGAAATTCAAAGCAGAGAGACAAAGTGAAAAAAAAAATAATTCCATAATCATTTGAAGACGTAAATTAAACAACATTGATAATCACCACTACATCAATACCCCTCCCTTGCCAGAGAAAACCAAAAGTATTCCTTCAACATGCTCTTCTATCCCTGCCCTCACCCTAATGCAGCATTTAAACCCTTGATTGTACCGTATGTAACTCTGCTTCATTAACAATCTTCCCTGCTCACCACAATCCTTGGAATTCTGTCACCACTATAACTGTTGTATTAGTACACAGTTAACCTTCAAACAACACAATGTAGAATAAAGTTTTCAAAGACAAAGAATAAAATGTTTTTTTGTTTTTTTCTTTTCTTTTTGGGTCACACCAGGCGATGCACAGAGGTTACTCCTGGCTCTTCCATCAAGAATTACTCCTGGCATGGCAATGCTCGGGAGACCATATGAGATGCTGGGAATCGAACCCAGATCGGCCACGTGCAAGGCAATTGCCCTACCCGCTGTGCTATTGCTCCAACCCAAATAAAATGGTTTTTACTTGATCAGAACTATCTCTATCATACAGAACAGGATAGTCTCTGCATTTATAAATAAGATACTTTGAAAAACTATTCGTTTTTATTTATTTATTTATTGTTTGTTTGTTTGTTTGTTTGGGGGGCCACTACCAGCAATGCTCAGGACTTATTCATTATACTATGTACCCTGGCAAGCTTGAGGGGCCAAACAGCATGCTGGGAATCCAATCTGGGTTGGCTGCATCCAATGCAAATGTCCTACCTGCTACACTATCACTCTTGGCCTCCACTTCTGGAAATTCTAATGAACAATATGAAGTTCTGGCAATGCAATGTTCTTTGTTAAAAAGATTTACTCTGATTTCATTGGAAGTCATGGATAACTTTAAAAGAGAATTTAATTCATCAAACTTTATGCATAATTTTTCATAAAGCATAAGTTATACGCCTAAGAGAACACCGATTCACTATTTTCCTGTTTCTGGGAGGAATTTTTTTCCTATCAGGAGGGCAAAGAACTCAAATACACATGTCTAGCCAGAATCTAACTCTTAATGGACTTTCTGAGGTTATATCAGCCCATATATACTGAGATATATATATATATATCTATATATATAGATATATATAGATATATATATATCAATAAACCTCTAGGTAAGACTTGGCAAGTGTCTGGGTTTTCTCCTTGTCATAATGGTCTCTG